GACTGAAAGCCATTCGAATGAGCTTGAGCTGGTCGCCCATTGTGGCAGAGAGATTGTGTACCTGTATGCCGTTCCATCTTTTATATAGCGTTAAATGGCTCGCGAATTTGCGGCTGGCGAATGGGTGTTCAATCGGCACGATGATCCAATTCAGATATTCTAATCTGATAAGATACGTGGCGTTATCGGTGCTTGTATAGCCACGGATGACCTGAATCCGAACGGTCATGTCGTCTTCCGTGGTCTTGACGCTCTCCAGTCGAGAAATTCGGTCTTAGAGAAACAACACACTAGCGAAGGAAAACGAGACTTCCCGCCCGAAGGACTGGGCAGGACTGGGCAAAGCAAGTTACCGGTATCGGAGAGCAGAATGCGCAGAAATGGAAAAACCTCTGGATGATTGTTGCCCCCGCTGAACGCTGCTGAACGACTGGACGACTTTTCCTTTTTGAACTCGCCTCACCGAGAAACCGAGATCTCTATTCCTCCCAATGTGGCATTCGTCAAGCGCGACCATGTGACAGGGACTATTTCTTTGGCCTGTCACCGCTTTTCTTTCTTGTCTCTTGCCTCCACAATCTTGCCACTCCACCTATGCCACTCAACAGCTACCCGAACCTCAAACCACAAGAATTTCTCACCAATAACCCTGCAGACGACGTTGGCAGGGTAGACTTGGATGATCTCGCCAGATATGTCCCACTCGCCGAGCTTCTACAATGGCAGGAGATGGCAAAGTTCATTATTAATCAGCCCGAAGATGTTAGGAAGGCGCCTCCCGCCATTCGCAGAACATACCGCCGCGTCTGTGACAGGATGACGGCTTTAGAGTCGACTTATCGTATTTACCCAATAGGTCAACTCATCACATTGACGGAGCTCGTACCGGTGTGTACAATATAAAATCCATTATGCCACCATCTCATACAGCTTCAGCTATTGAAATGGATGCGCGAATGTGACGGACTCGGTCCGCCGGCTCTCGTGATTCAGACTCACAATATGTTTCCGAATGCTATCGTTCGATCCCATGCGCTGGCTGCTGGTATGGATGGCCACTTTCATCTTGACCTTTCTGCAAAGTCTTTTCGAGCTGAACATTATCTACTCGACGAATTAATAGCTGAATCCCCCCCTCATTCTAACCCGTTTTATGGCAAAAGGAAGCGCGTCTTTGTCGAGAGGCCAATACCTGGACCCCCGAGCCCCTCCGACTGGGAGAAGAGATCCTTCGAATTCATCGGGGAGTTTGAGGTTGACGTCATTCGAGAAAACGGAAAGCAGTATTGGAACACGCCGCATCTTATCTCGCAGGAGGTTCGCCCATCCGCCATCTCGGTCCTGAATTTTCGGCCTCATAATTTTAAAACAGATGAAAAAACTTATCCTCATGCACTATCAAGACAACCTGATGTCCCCCGATACTGAGTACCAGGTCATCGGCAACCGCTTCACGACTGGTTCCGAAGTACGGCGCTACTACGAAGATGGGGATTTCAATCCTTTCATCAGCCTCAAGCTCTATCCTCAATCGAAGTGCTACTTTATTGCGATGCCACTGCACGGTGGCTTTCCAGACTTGTATCTGGATTCGGGCCTGGAACTCGAGTCTGAGTCCGAGTCTGCGGATAATGTTTCTTCTCTTTCAGTTTCCTTCAATGGCTAACCAATCTTCAGATAACTGACGGACATTGATCTCAGGTGGGTGGTTCATTCATTCAGATAGATGTGCCATTTGCTATATTTGCGATCCATGCTACTGCTACATTTGATTTTCTACGGACTTTTTAATACTCAAACCACGACCACTCTACTATATTACTTGACTGGCATTATTCTACCTCACGTTTGTACTACTTGTTCAATTGCAACGATCTCAAATGTCTCTGTGCGGGAATGAACGTGGGTAACCGAATGCGGAAAACGTGGCCGCACAAGCGGTTAGGCACTTGCCACAACTTGGCCTCTCCGACGCTCTCGACTCTGACGCTCTCATAGACGAACTTACGATGTCTCTTCTTCTTACGCCAATAATACAGATCTTCAATTACACTCTCCAACCCATAGCCCCGTTCACCTGGTTCAATATTTCCCTCAGCACTCTAGACGTCGTCGCCGCATTTCGACTCTGTATCGTGCTAAGGCAAATCAAGGAATCTCTGTATCGCCAACATGTATCCAAGAACGGCGTTGAAACTGTCGCGCCGAAGGCTTTTGCTAGGGACATATCGACGACGCTGACTGTGGTGTATGGTGGGGAGGCAAGTGGTTCGAGATACTTCCCGGGCTCCGTCTGACCGTCCGGGTGGTGGCAGGTCATGACGGGTGCGTATTGCCGGCTCTCAGGTCATATTTCCAAGCTTATAATCGCGCCTCAGCCCCGCTACTGGGCATTCCACCGTCCTTCATGGTCTCCGGTAGTCTCTCTTGACAGCGCTTTATCGTTCTTAACTCGATGCAGATCTCCGGCGTGGTCCCCGTCTTCTACGCTGTTGTGCAATCACTGGTAGAAATGCTCCCCGCTGTTCCGGAAATGACAATCCACACTGAGCTCCCGCTCTCGGTCGTAGACGGATTCACGCGTGCTTTTCTCCTGTGTAACCTTATCCCTCCCGCCGTCACCGCCAACACGTCTCCCGTCATCGCCGTATCGCCGTGGACGCTCCTCGTCACGTCCCTCGTACGTTTCCATTGCGCAAGCCTGTCAATACAATATTTAATTGGCCGGGTTGCAGGTGACCGCCAACGGCGGCTTCTTCCTCACCAACCTCCTCTCCTTTCTCAACCCGACGCCCATCGCACTCCAGACGCCGCCCGAGCTCCAGCCCTACGGATGGACCGCGACGGACCTCTGGTGTGCGCCGCTCGTCACGGGCATCTACGCCCTCCTTACGCACGCTCAGCCCTTCTGGGCCGACCTGCACACCGTTCTCTCCGGAATGCTCGGTGGAGGCGTGGCCACGAAGAGCGGCGTCGTCGAGGCGCTCGACCCGCACACGGCGCGCGCGGTATGCGTGGTGGTCCTCACCACGCTCTTCGTTACCCGTACGGTGAAGAACTTGGCGCCCGAGGTGTGGAATGGCGCGGTTGGTCCGATTAAGCAGAAGGGTACGTCGTGTTTCATTTGAACTCGTTGACTTTTCATTCTTCGACCCCTCAGGCGAGAAACTCAAGACCCAGTAGAGGTATCGAATGTAGAAATTCTCATGAGACTTGCTTTTCATACATGACCAACACCATACTCAGACTAAGTGGTGCGAGCAAGGAAGAAAGACCCGCAACTTGGACTTCGGTCCCATACTTTTCACCAACGGCGAGCGGGTGGTTATTATGCGTTAGGGAAGGGAATTTTCACGATTCAAATGAAAGGTTATGGAGAAAATATTTGAGAAGACGGTTTTCTAAAAAGCTCGGAACGTTGATAGACGATGCCGGTCCGTGCGGCATGGCATGTGATCGAATCATTTCTTGTCATTTCGACTTTGTTTCGACTTTAACGCCCACGGCTCTGCGATGGCAGGATTCCGCGATCTTCCTGCAGAACTGATCATCCACATTGCATCGTTCTCTGTTCGGGAAATAATCCTTGACCCAGACAATTGTCTGACCTGGAACTCACACCGCGAGCCGGAACTCGTTCCCGACCTCCCTTCCATTAATTCCCTCTCCCAGACAAGCATTGTCCTACACCGTGCTTTCAATCCGGCACTTTATTACCTCTGTACAAGGGTCGAGGTTCTAGGCCGGCTTGCTCTTCTCTTCGCCGTTCAACACCAATTAGACACGGCATTTGACAGGTTTATCGCTGAAGGCATCGATCCAAACTCTGAATATAATTTCAAAAGCTGCCGGTGCACCCTGATCCATATTGCAGCAACGCTTGGACACCAGGCCATGGTCATAAAATTGCTGGGCAAGGATGAGGGGGAAAAAAGGATGAGAGCGTATGCACGCGCATGTCCTGACCCAGCGACAGCCTTGGATTATGCGGCCCGCCATAGACACATGGATGTAGTCCAACTGCTCGCTCCCATTCCTCCACCTGCTATACCAAGAGACATACCTCCACCTGGCCCACTGCAGCCGGTTCCGGTCCAAACGCACAGACAATACCTGAGCCTCGCCCTCACTGAAGCGGTGGCGTCCAAGGACCCCGAGATATGCGAATATCTAATATCGGAGGGAGCAGACGTGAATTTTCTGGCGGACGTCCCTCCCGTCAAACCACCTCTCTTTTACGCCATACACATGAACAACCTTGGGCTAGTGCAGCTCTTGCTCGCCTCTGGTGCGGACCCAAACCGCTACAATCCATACATTCTCTTCATGGCGGCCGATGGCGGCAACTTGGACATGATACGAGTACTGGTCCAAGCGGGTGCCGATGTCCATGTCCGGAACGACCAGCTATGCAACGTTCTTACCTGTTGCACAGACGTCGAGGTGCTCCGCTTTTTTCTTGAACGCGGAGTAGACCCGAATAATGCAGACATCGAAGGAGATACCGTTCTCCACAACGCTTGCGGGGAGCGGCGATTTCTTTATGGGAACGAGTGCGTCGAGCTCTTGTGTCGATTCGGAGCAATGCCCGACAAAGCCAACGACGTCGGACAGACAGCTCTCGATCTGGCCCTGGCAAACCAGCTGCAAGATATCGTGAGCATCATGGAACCTTTTGTGCACGATCCCGATGTGCGGGCGAAGATAGCGGAGCGATGGGAGAAGAGAAACGGGGCATAACCAGAGAACCGTACTTCTAATTTCTGACCTTTGGTAGAGCGGACGAGAGCAGCTGTTCGTTGTAATGGAGGAAAGAAAGAAATAATTGAGTTCCAAGCCATTTCTGCGGAAACGTATGCATTCCTTATTCAAGAGACATATAAACCCTGTGTCGAGAGTCATTCACGCTCCCAAAAGACTGAGCGATAGAGTCTTTTTGTAAAAAGAAACACAGCGGCAGTCGGCAACTAGTAGAAACGAGAGAAAGCGCCAAAAACAAACGACACGAGCAGGATTTGAACCTGCGCCCGGAAACCGGAACAGATGGCGATTAATTCGAATCTGTCGCCTTAACCACTCGGCCATCGTGCCGTTCTTAATTAGAGAAATAGGCCGTTCAGAGGTGAGGGTAGGTCGTAAGTGGTTTGATCAAAGCAAGTTTCCTATTTGGGACGTTGGCAGTTCCAAGACAAGAGGTAGGCGAAAATTTTGAAAAGTACATCAACCTCATTTTGGGACGAGTTTATGACCCTGGTTGTGAATCTGAAAATAACTTTTTATAAAAGTGAAAGTTGGGTGGGAGAGACCATGATTTTATGGTTCCTGATCGACTAGTGATCAGAAAAAATCAGGAAAAATCAGAATCAGAGATTCGGACCCCCGAAATGGGGGGGTAGCCTGCCGCCGATCGTCTTTTCGACGAATATTCAAGGCGCTAGAGGTGGGGGGACACCGGAGTTACATCACGTTTTGCTTACGTTTTTTCCTTTTTTGGGGGGGTTGTCAAAGAGGTTAGTGTTTGATCGAGAGCATACGAGGCATGCAGAAGGTCGAGTCGGCTGGGCCAGAGACGTCTCTGGGAGAATCGCGTAGAATTGATCTCGGATAATTCTCCCGGCGTTCGGCGGCTTCGCGTAGAATTCTCTTCGGCAAATCCATCCCGCTGAATGGCGTCACTGGAGGTCACTGGCTCGTTCCTGCCCACGAAGCCCCACAAGCGGTTCGCGAATCGCGGAAGGTCGTGGACCGGAATCTGCCTCCATTGGGATACTCTAACGCTCGCAACATCCCGTAATGGTGACCCGCCACTGTCTCGGTAACCCAGACGTTCGGTGACACTTACACAACACAGCGGACCCTAGCGGACCGCTTGATCCGTGATTGACAGTCGGAGTTGAAAAAGAAGTGCAGAAGTGTCACCAGAACGTCTGGGGCAGTTCGTATAGCAACACCTACCATCGAGTCACACCGTGACTCTTCCGCATTTGGAACCGCCGATCCGCGAACCGTAAAAGTCGCCACAAACACTTCCCGAGGCCAGAGAAAATTCAGTTTCACATAGCTATTATGCTCTCTGACTTCTAGAGGTGAGCCCTTTCAATCTCAGTAACTATTTCTATAGTGTAGTTTTTTTTTTGTACTATCAATTCATTTTTCTGTTATCAATCACATCATGATGTCATCTGCCCCTTTCTCTTCATCCTCCCATGTCGTCCCCCGTTATTGCGCCAATCGACAGGGATCTGTTCGCAGACGAGAGTCAAAACTGAAAGGGCAGAAGGTGCCAGCCCGGCGGCGCGTTGAAGAACAGCTGATGGGATTCGGGTGGATCGGAACGGAAAAGCGTGATTGATTGTTACAAGTGTGACTCGATGGTAGGTGTTACTATACGAAGTGCCCCAGACGTTCCGGTGTGATCTCTGCACTACATTTTCATTCTCCGACTGTCAATCACGGAGATCACCACCGGAGCGACTGGGTTACCGAGACAGGACCCGCCAATGCTAGGCGGGTTGTCGGGAGTCGGTTGACATCCAGCGGACGGCAAAAGCAAAGCCCCTAGACCCGAGCCCGGTTTTCCTTACATCCATTAACCTGTATTTGTTGCACTGCCAATTAAACTTCTTATCAAGACGGTCTTGCGCTCCTTCCCCTCAATCTTACCGGTGATTTTACTCTGTGCCCCACCCGCCCCACCGACCATATGTGAATAATGTGATGCGCACCTCCTTGCAAGGTTAGACGAACCGTCATATCCTCACCGCAGGCTTAGACGAATCGTCATATCCCCCGGCCCTGGAGAAAGAAAATGTATAAAAGCTGGCCTGGCTCTCGAAATCTCATCATCTCATTCATCCCGTCTGCTTAATTTTTACTCTCTCGCATTGAATCACCACCTTCTCTCACTATGAATCCATCTGAACTTGCATCTGAATTGACTTTTCTACCCGCTGCCCTCGCGCTTAACCCTCGTCCCATTCCCAAAAATCGATGCGACACCTGCAACGGAGAGCTGGGCCAACTTCTGCAGGCTCTCAATGGAACCGTGCTCGAAAATTGGGCGCGGTGGTTCCAGAAGGTATGTTCTAATGCTGTCATGGAAAGGTCTATTGCTTATTCGGTCCCTTTCAGTGCAAGGGCTGTCCCGAGTTCTACTGGCACAACCCACCTACAGTGCTGGAGAAAATTCCACACAATGTACAGGTGCGGTTCGTAGTTGTCCAGTCGTGCAGACAATTCATTCCATATGTTGTACAGGTCCGGTTTACACTCATACAGTCGTCCAAGGACACTGGCACTCCTCTAATCTGCCAGGAGGACAATTGCTTGACGACAAACAACCAACGTCGCCGGGCCAACAAGGAATGCTCTCGAGTTCCGCCATGTTGTGCCAATTGTTGCAAAGCGGCTGGTGGCTGCCGTGCTCAAAGTCATCGTCTTTCCGGGAATACCAAGTTGTTACTCCGCGGGAGCTCTGGTCAGATTTTTTCTAACGTACCAACTGCCTGTCTAATATATATCCTCAGGTACTCTTACTTCGAGCTCCCAGAGCACTTTTACTTCGAGCTCCCAGAGCACTCTTGCTTCAAGCTCTGACTTGGGTGAAGAATTTAGTTTATTCTTCAGGATTTCGTTTTCATCTCCGCATAGGTCCTACTCTGACTGCAGAGCCTGTGGTTCCAAACCGCGTCTTTGCGCGTCCGCTCAACGAAAATTATGCCATCGGTTACCTCACCCGTCATTCCAACTTGTTAGAAGCCAATTCCCGACTCGAAGCTGTCGAAAAGTCCAAGCAACTGAGCGACAGTAGTGTATATATTGTTCTCTTTCATGCCGTGAGTTTATTTCCCATGGCTGAGACATTTTATATCGATTCTGTATACAGGCAAACAAGCCGTCTCAGAATTTCTTCCTTGTCAACAATGTGCCGGGTAAATTTGTCCCTGCGGACCATTCTGTGCTGGCATTTGCCGTCCAGGATGGACTAATCTCATACCTTGAGTCGCCGTCGAGCAAGATGTGGTGTGTTCGGGATGCGCGGGTGCCAATTTTGGTCTCGCGTAATGTCCGCATTCTTCTTCGCAGGTCAGACATGTCTGACCAAGACTGTTTTGGTCTTGAGCTTGAGATCCGTCGCCTGCTGATTCAACTCTCGGACGAGTCTCCTCGGGCAAAAACACGAGGCCTCCTGGCGCTTTCTGGTTCGTACATTTCTTTCTTTCAGCTCGTCCTTGCTGATAGGTTATCTCACCCCAAGCTCTGACCCTGCCCCTTCCCCTTCTCAAACGACTTACAATTCAGAGAAGTCCGAGGAGTTCTCTGTGCCCTCTCCTAGCACCGAACATATCATTGCACCGCTTCGTTTTCCCCTCACTTCAGCCAGTGACATGGAAGCCGGGTTATCGCACTTGTGCTTGTTGAGGCAGCAAGACGGCGGCCCGCATGGGTCTTGAGACCGCATTTCAGCTGGCCTTTCCGAAATGCACGTATAAAAGCCAGACCGTTTACAAGCACCTCAAGATATACGATGATGCTGCTAAATTAAAAATCGTTCCAACGCCAGGCAGTAAATGGACCGAGTTCGTCAAGGCTGTCGAAGACGGGCGCAAGCTTATGAAAGGCTTGTCGTCGTCTTCATCACACTTTGTCTAAATACTCAAACTCGAACCAGAACCAGAGCAGAGATTCATTGAGATCTCCGATGGCGATGACGGCTCCGACACCGAGTACAACATCATTACCATGCAGAAAGAGGTTTTCAAGTACTCAGAGGGCCGCCTCGAGTCAGGCTCCATCGACCGGCATACACCGTTTGAACAGCTCGACGTTTTGATTTGCGATAAATTCGAACGGGGCCATAAGATGAGAGTTCATATGGTCTGTCCGATTTTGTCTCCGCTGGGCTGCGTCTCTCATTTAATTCCAGGGAACCGGGAGCAAATTCGAAGCAGTTGCTCTCAAAAAACTATCGCTCTCTGACTTCAGTCCATGGGGATCCCGTGAAATGGCGGTATGGTCAGAAGCGGCACGTCTGGCTGAGTGCCAGCTCATCTTCGAGGCTTTCAAAGCCAAGGCTAACGCTATTGATCTTGACTTGGCTGGTCCGTATCTCTTGTTCCTTATGTCAATATTTTTGGTCTCATTATCTTCCAGATGTTGACATTCTTCCGACGTCGTTGTTCTCATACGGGGACAGACTTCTGATTTCTCAGCCATGGGAATCCGGAATCCGTTTTTCTTTCAATCGCTTAGATAACCACACCAACGCCTACCATGTGTTGTCTGCATTCTCCCATTTCACTTACCAAACCAGTAATCACAGCAGCGTCTATGTGGACTTTCAAGGTACGCCCAACATGTTGGCTACAAGTTTGCATAGTTGACAAAGGACTCATGTTTGCCACAGGTTTCCGAACCATCTCTGGATATCGAGTCTTCGACTCTACCACGCACATTCGGTGAGTTTGCGATGATTCACTGTGAGGTTTGGACTCTGATATCTAGTCTCAGCAGCGGAAATGATAATGCATCCATCTATCCGGCCATTGGGAGTCGCGGATCGGATGGAGTTGACAAGTTCACCGCAACACACATCTGCAAAGATGTCTGTAAGGCGCTTGAAATGAATGCTTTCCCGCTTACTTTCCCAACTCCACCGAACACCGAATAGTTTTTACTCTTCTTCTATAGTATTTCAAATCCCTGAATGACTTATTTTTGACCCGACTTCTCTACTACTGGGTAGCACATTGTACCGGTTTTCAGTTAGCTTAACAATTGATTTGTACCGAGCTATCATTCCCCCAGTCTCAGTTCAACGTCGCTCGCGGATCTGGCCTCGCAAACAGTTACATACTTCACTTTTCGAGTGATTCACGGTTACTATTTTTGGTTCAAATCAACCATGACGCTTTGTGACTTTGATTTGGGCGGACTGTTCACAAAGCGTCGTCGGCTTCTATCTCTCACTGTCTATTTCTGAATTGTTCCCTTCCATCCTTATTATCTTACCTTATCTTATCTTGAGTTCCGTAAAAGTTCTTTCAAGTTTACGATGTGGCTTGGCTATCTAAGGCGAGCCAACCATACGA